TCCATCTCACAACTATGTGGATTCCAACTACATGCCTTTAGAAAAAGGAAATAAGTGTAATTTTTGTAGGAAAACTATAACAAAGCCAAAGTTATGCACCATTTAGTGTAAATGAAACAATGAGCTCTTTTGCTTTAGATAATCCATTTTGTTGTAGACTTAAAGTTGGGAATCAGGACTTATACTTTTTAATTTCTTTAAATGTACCTTTGAAGAAATAAAGAATTTAAGTACGTTTTCCAAATAGTTGTGATACACTCTCTACTGACTTTGTGCTATTTTATTTATTTTTATCATGGTGCGCTGTGTGGCAGACAGGATGGAGGACCCAAATGCAGGACTCATAGATGGACAGAAACATACTGGCTAAACCCCTCATACGAGGCTCTCCTCAGCTAAAATACACGGAGGGATAACAAGGGAATGGGACACAGAAGAAGAGCACACCTGAGAGTAATCAAACACAACAAGACCAGGGGAAATCCAACTAGACACACTGACATGAGACACAGACTACAAAGTAAAACAGGAAACATAACACATAGACATGGACTTGACAAGGGGATACAGCTGACAGGGGAGACAGAGACAAAAACCAGAATACTAAGAACACTAACACTGAAACCAAAAGACTAGGAATGATCAATACTGACAAACTCAAAGTTCAATAAATAACACAAACTCAAAACACTTGGTCAATGACCCAGGACCATGACACCAGGAACACAGGGGAGGGCAAAAACAGAACAGAAACCAAGAGACTTGAAACTATAAATAACAACAAAGAAATCCCAGACTATTAATAATTCAAGATACAGAACACTGGGTCACCGACCCAGGACCGTGACAATTCTAAGTTGGTCTTTTAAACTTTTCTCATTCTTACTGATTGGGCAATGGAACACCGTATGATCGCTGACGTCTTGCATTATGTCTTCTGAAGGATCATTAATAGGGTAATTTCCTTGCATAATTCCAATTCCTTACATACTATCTTTGGATGCGTAACCAACATGACGACAAGCTTCTATTCATATCCTACAACTTTGTTCAAGTTGTCATCTGATAATGTTGCACAAGTCAGT